CAAATGAGGCAATTAGGGAAATCGCTGGCCGCCCTGCCCGCTCAGTGCCACCCGAAGCAGCAGCTCCCGGTTCCTCAGTGAGCATGGGACCAGGAGTCAGGACCCAGGTTCCAGGCCCAGCTCTGCCATCGACTAGCTATGCTGCTGGGGTTCTCTGGTGCAGAATCATGAAGTCATTGTGCAAGGAGTCACCTCCTGGCTCCCTGGCTGTCTAGCCAGATGACTTGGGTGGGGCCTGGGGAGGGGTGCAGAGGACAAGTCCCATCTCCTCCCTAATTCTCAGTCTTCTCGTCGGTAAAGTGGAGGTGCTGGTGCCCACTTCACAGAGTGCTGTGGGGTGAGGAGAGAGTTTGTCAAGCTGCACTTAGTAGGTGTGGGGTCTCCCCCTCCACCCCCTGCCACTTCTCTTGTAAAATGGAAGTGATACCTGCTGAGGCTGAGGCGAGAGGTGGGTGTGGGGATCCAAGACCGGGACTGGCAGGCCCTGCCCTGGCTGTGGGCGGGTACAAAGATAGGGCTGCCATTGTTGCTGGAATGTCACTCACCTGCTGGGGCCTACGGAGCTCCCACCTAACAGAGCCCAGAGCCTTCTAAGCCGTTCCCACGCCTGCGGTGGGTTTAGTTTCACTTCAGGGCCCCGGGCAGGCGTTTCAGGAAGCGCCCCTCGTCTTTTGTGTGTTGAAAAATAAACAGCTCTCCATCTCTGCATTCTGCTTGGGAGGTATGTGAGCTTTCCTCCTCGTCTGCAGACAGGTATGTGAGCTCCCCTCATCTGTCTGCAGACAGACTGCAGGGGGGCACAGAGCAGGGGCAGGGCGGCCTCGCTCCCCCACCCCCCAGCCCCCATGAGATTCAATCCCTGCCTTCAGAATTCTCCCATTTAGGGTCTAAAGTGCTGTGTTCTTCCATAGAAGGAAACGTGCGGTGGAGGCTGTGTCGGGGGGAATACAGAGCAGGGATCAGAGGCCGCCTGGGTCAGGGGAGGGTGGACAGGCGAGCTTCCCAGAAAGGGTGACCTCTGAAATGAGACGAGGCGGGAGGAGCCATTGCTTTCCTGCACCTGGGCAGGTTTCTTCCCTGAGCCTCAGTCTTAGGCTCTGTGAAAGGGGTCAGTTATACCCGCTTCAGAGGGAAGGGTCAGAGGCTTAAAGGAGATGATGGGCAAATACCTCCTACCCGTAGGTGTCCAGGAAATAGTATCTGCTGTGCCAGGAAGGGAGCTGCTTGGTGAACTGAACTTCTTTCTTTTTTCTTTTTTCTATATATTTTATTGATTTTTTACAAAGAGGAAGGGAAAGGGATAGAGAGTTAGAAACATCGATCAGCTGCCTCCTGCACACTCCCTACCGGGGATGTGCCCGCAACCAGGGTACATGCCCTTGACTGGAATCGAACCTGGGACCCTTGAGTCCGCAGGCCAACGCTCTATCCACTGAGCGAAACCAGTCAGGGCCCGAACTTCTTTCTTAAGGGTCTTTTCCTTGCGTGTTTGACACCTGTTACGTAGTGTAACCAAGTGTCCTAGTTTCAGAAAAGGCTCAGCTGTAACCCAGCGTGAAGTGAAGAAGTCTAGGAGCCCTTTCTCTCCTTCACCCAATGGGAGTGAGGCAGAAGGCTCCGGAATTAAAATTCTTGCCATAAAGCCCTCGCTGGTTTGGCTCAGTAGATAGAGCATTGGCCTGCAGACCGAAGGTTCCCGGTTCGATTCCAGTCAAGGGCACTTACTTTGGTTGCAGGCTCCTCTCTAGCCCGGGCCCTGGTTGGGGCTTGTGCAGTAGGCAACCAATCAATGTGTTTCTCACGTCTCTCACATCAATATTTCTCTCTGTCTTTACCTCTCTCTTCCACTCTCTCTAAAAGTCAGTGGAAAAATATCCTCAGATGAGGATTAAAAAAAAAAAATTCTTGCCATAGTACTCTGGCTGCGCCGGACTTGCGCCCCTCACACAAGTGCCCTTTGTCCTTGGGCATTGCAGAGTTAGATGCAGCAGGATGTCTAGGCTCTGCCGAGGACTCGTCACTTCCCCTCCACTTGTTCCATCATTCACTTTAACCGTTTACTGAGCACCGACAGTAGCCAGGTGATGGGATTCTCTGCCAGCCCAGGCCCCAGCCCAGATGAAGCTCACAATTCTGGGGAAGGGGCAGGAGATAAATGTAAAAAACAAAAACAACAAAAAAGTAGTAGTAGCAGGCTGCAATACATACTAAAAGGGAAATAATGGGGTGCTGTGATACCGAATTTGAGGGGCTACTAGGGCAGTCAGGACATTTGACGAGATGACATTTCAGTTGAGATCTAAAACAGGAGCTGACCAGGGGAGGAGTAGAGATGAGAAGAGAATGTTCCAGATAGAGGGAACAGGGCTATAAAGGTCTGGGTCGCCCTGGCCTGTGTGGCTCAGTTGGTTGGGCGCCATCCCGTGCACTGAAAGGATGCCCATTCCATTCCTGGTCAGGACACAGGCCCAGGTTGTGGGCTTGATTCCCGGTGGGGAGTGTGCAGGAGGCAGATGATTGATGTTTTGTTCTCACATCAATGTTTCTCTCTCCCTAAAAAAATCAATAAAAAAATCTTTAAAAATTTTTTTTATTTTATTATTTTAATCCTCACCTGAGGATATTTATCCATTTTTTTTTTTTTTTTTTCTTTTTTTTTTTTTTTAGAGAGAGAGAGAGAGAAAGAGAGTGGAGGGCGGGGGAAGGACAGAGAGAGAGAGAAACATCGATGTGAGAGACACATCAATTGGTTGCCTATTCCATGCGCCCTGACCAGGTTCAAGCCTTCAACCGAGGTATATGCTCTTGACTGGAATCTAACCCAGGACTCTTTAATTAGGGGGCTCACGCTCTATCCACTGAGCCAAACCAGCTAGAGCTAAAAAAAATCTTTAAAAACAAACAAACAAACAATAATAATAAAGGTCTGGCCCTGGTCAGTGTGGGTCAGTTGGTTGGGTGAGGTCCCATGCACCAGAAGGTCTCGGGCTCCATCCTCAGCAGGGGGCATGCAGGAGGCAGCCAATAGGTGTTTGTCACATCGATGCTTCTCTCCCTCTCCCTTCCTCTCTACAAAATCTATAAAAACATATTAAATCAATAAATGTCTGGGTGGAGGGGAGGAGAAACTTGGAGAATCTGAACAACCGGGTGAGGGCCACACAGTTAGGGTCTAGGCCAGTGATGGCGAACCTATAACACGCGTGTCAGAGGTGACACGTGAACTCATTTTTTTTTTTGGTTGATTTTTCTTTGTTAAATGGCATTTAAATATATAAAATAAATATCAAAAATATAAGTCTTGCCAAACCGGTTTGGCTCAGTGGATAGAGCGTTGGCCTGCGGACTGAAGGGTCCCAGGTTCGATTCCGGTCAAGGGCATGTACCTTTGGTTGCGGGCACATCCCCAGTAGGGGGCGTGCAGGAGGCAGCTGATCGATCTCTCTCATCGATGTTTCTAACTCTCTATCCCTCTCCCTTCTTCTCTATAAAAAATCAATAAAATATTTTAAAAATATATAAGTCTTTGTTTCACTATGGTTGCAAATATCAAAAAATTTCTACATGTGACATGGCACCAGAGTTAAGTTAGGGTTTTTCAAAATGCTGACAGGCCGAGCTCAAAAGGTTCACCATCACTGGCTTAGGAGGAGCCACACTCAAGGGTCCAAAAAGCCGCATGTGGCTCGCGAGCAGCAGTTTGCCGACCTGACCGACCGCAGGTCTAGGGGAGTGAGGTGGGGAGCAGCCCAAGGTGAGGATCTGGCGGGCAGGGTCATGGGGGGCTGTCCCTACAGAGTTTGAAGCAAGGGAGTGACAGGATCCGCATTCCCTCTCTAAAGACTCGCCGTGGCTGCTGAGAGGGTCCTGAGGGCAGCAGTGGACCAGGAGCTGTCACTGTGGCTGTGGCCCTCTCTGAGCCTGTGGCTTCACACAGATCTGGGCTGTAAACATCAGATAGGGGAATGAACAGAAGTGCTTTCGGGGAGCTGCAAAAATGTAGGGGGGTCCAGGTCTCACTTGAAGTGGAGGGTTTAGGCCAGGGGTGGGCAACCTTTTTGTGAGTGTGTGCCAAAACCAGCAAAATCTCTGACTCAGAATTCTTCTGCGTGCCAACCCTAATTTTTTGAGAATATGTTACGCCTACTTGATATCTCTTAAGGTGTACATATGTGAAGAACCTTGAAGAAATAAAATTCATTCGAGCGACAAAAACACAGTATATGATGAAAAATACATTTATTTTTTAATGTATACATGTTATGTAAAATAATTTATTTATCTAAGATGCACCCACACTGAATTTATCTGAAAAATAAAAAAAGTCGATATTAAGAAAAAATTGTAAATGGAAGAATATGAGAGGGTTTCGCGTGCCAGCAAAAGTTACTGGCGTGCCATGTTTGGCGCGCGTGCCAGGGGTTGCCCACCCCTGGTTTAGGGTCTTGGGTGCAAGGGAAAATGGGTGTCCAGAGTCTTTACTTGAGCACCCCGCCTCGGAGAGAGCCCCCTTTTCCAGCCGAGGTTACAGGGCCCCTGAGAGGCCTCGGGGGCTGGAGGCTTTGACTCCTTTGAGACCTGAAGCTGAGGGTTGGGGGAAGTCACACTTTGAGCTTGGAGGCAAGCACTGGGTCCCCTCCAGCCGCCCACATGTACCCTCAGCATTTTCTCTTTCTGTCAGGGGAGTTCTCTGGAGTTTTCTGAAATCATTCACGAACTCTGGCTTAAAGACCCTCGAGCTAGAGGAAGGGGGAAGGGGAGAGCCTGCCTTTTTTATTCTACCTCTTCTTGCCCACTCATCTTTGCAGCTTAGATGGGGGACCCCCGCCGCCGCCCCTAAAGGCTTGGGGTCTCCTGGGGGCCCCCCGGGGAGGGAACCTGCGCTGAGCGCTGACCTGGCTCCGCCTGCGAAGGTGGCGCAATGCCCGCGGCCCGCTGCCCAGCCCGCCCAGACCTGCCGCCCAGACCTGCCGGGTGCGCGGCGGCGGCGGCAGCCCCGGCGTCTCGGGGCGCAGCATGCCGAGCGGGTGGCCGCGGGGCGCATTGGCGGCTGCGCTGTCGGCTCTGGGGGTGAGGACGGGTGGCCAGGCGCGGGGTGGTGGGGAGGCGGGACCCCCTTCCCGCCGGCGGGCTGGTCGGTGGGCTGGTCTCGGTGTCCGGGCTGGGGGCGGGGCGCGGCGGAGGCGGTGGTGGCGGAGGTGCCGGTGGTGGCAGCGGCGCCCGGCGCTTCCCCATTTCCCCCATTCGGGTGTGAGAGCCATGGAGGCGCTGAGGGAGTCCGTGCTGCACTTGGCCTTGCAGATGTCGACCTACAAGCGGGCCACGCTGGATGAAGAGGACTTGGTGGACTCACTCTCCGAGGGCGACGGGTACCCAAACGGCCTGCAGGTAGGAGCCCGGCCCTCTGTGAGACTCCCCCGATTTGGGGGGGGGGAGGCTGGGCATGCGCACTGGTGCTCCCCTCCTCCCACCCTCCCCCTTCCGCGCACCTCCGCCCCCATCCTGCCAGCCCCAGAGGGGTCTGTGCCCGTCCAAAGCTCCGGGCAGACTGGGCTCCGTGGGGAAGATGCCTTCCTGGGGCAAAAGTGCCCCTGGCGCTGAGCTTCCCCACCGCCTCCCCTCGCCAGCTCTGCCCTTCCCCGAATCCTCCAGAATCCTCCCCACCACCTGAGCAGAGTTGAAGCCCACACTCCCTACCCTCTGGCGCTGAACTGGTCCAGTTCCCTTTCACAGGGGAGGCAGTTCCTGGGCCCTGAGGGACTTGCCCTGGGCCGCACAGCCTGTTGTTACTGGCAGAGGCTGAAACTGTTGGCATAACCCCCTCTCAGTCCTGGGCACACTGGGCAGTTGGTCGCCCTACCTGGTAGGCTTACTCTGTTCTTCCTCTTTCCACCCAAATACCTGAAGTAGGTGGAAGGGGGACCATCTTCTGCCTCCTTTCCCTGCCACTTTTCAGCCTAAGGTCTTCACCTACCAGAAGCCAGTCAGTCCACCACCCCCTGCCTTGTGGCTCAACAGTGAGCAGGACTGCTTTGTGCTCTTGCCCTGCGGGGACTGAGTCTTTCCTCCAGGCTAGTTACATAGGTCCAGGGCAGCGGTTCTCAACCTGTGGGTCGCGACCCCTTTGGCGAACGACCCTTTCACAGGGGTCACCTAAGACCATCGGAAAACACATATATAACTACATATTGTTTTTGTGATTAATCACTATGCTTTAATTATGTTCAATTTGTAACAATGAAAATACATCCTGCATATCAGATATTTACATTACGATTCATAACAGTAGCAACATTACCGTTATGAAGTAGCAACGAAAATAATTTTATGGTTGGGGTCACCACAACATGAGGAACTGTATTTAAAGGGCCAGAAGGTTGAGAACCACTGGCCCAGGGAGATCCGAACTCATGACCCTACCCTTCCCTACATTGTCCGGTTAACCTTCAGGGCCACCCCATGAGCTCTAGGGGTTACTATTCCCACTTCCAGGTGAGGGGACTGAGGCTCTGAAAGGGAAGCCTACTCGCCGGAGGTCCCAGAGCTAGAAATCTGGGAGTGAGAAATCAAACCCAGTCTGTCTAGCACCTCTTCCCTGCGGACACTTCGTAAAAGGCTAAATCCAGCAGGAAATGAGATTTCTGTGGCCGGCACTTTTTCCTTCACCAATCAAAACAGAATCTAATCAGCAATCTTTGTAGTCTCATCTTCCACAGAATTCTAAATATATCAGCACAAAAGCATGTGGAATTCACAACAAAATAATGTGCCGTGTTGTTATCGTCACAGTAGCAGCCCACGTGGGTCTAGCCTTTTTCAGGTCACGGAGTGCGTCCATCCCCCCCGAGGCTGCCTGGCCCGGTGAAGGCAGCTCAGTCCCTGAAAGCGGGCGGGGGGGGGGGGGTACAGATTTAAATTCTGACTCCACTTGAGGTCTTGGGGGAGTTGCTTACTCCCTTTAAACCACAACTTCCTCATCTGTAAAATGGGAGTTAGAGAAAGTGGGTGTAATGCAGATTACGGGGCCTGCTATGATTGTTGATGTTATGACCTATGAGGTAAGGGCCCCTGCGGCATATTACACATCATAAAGCTGAGTCTGAGAGAGATCAGGGAGATTCCAGTGGTCACAGAGCTACCATGTGGGTTGGAGTGCAGTATTGGGGCCCCTACACCAACCTGCATGCACTGCCCACTTCTTATACAGGAAAAGCTGAAAAAGTTGCCCCAAGGATTGGGGCATTTCTGTGGGTACCCAGTCTGGCTTGCCTTAAGCCTCCACCACTGCCCCCATCCCCAGCGCTTTTTCTCCTAAGAGCCGAGAGCCTATCCAGCCCCTCTTACAAAGCAGAGCTTTCTATTAATTTTATGGTTTTTGGTTTTTTTTGGGGGGGGGGGTTTGTTGTTGTTAACCTCACCCGAGGATTTTTCCATTGATTTTTAGAGAGAGTGGAAGGGAGAGGGCGAGGAGAGAGAGAGAGAAACATCGAGAAACACATTGATTGGTTGCCTCCTGCACGCACCCCACCCAGGGCCGGGGAACCTGCAACCAAGGTACGTGCCTTTGACCGAAATCGAACCCTGGACCCTTCAGTCCGCGGGCCAATGCTCTATCCGCTGAGCCAAACTGGCTAGGGCTAATTTTATGTTTTTAGTTATTGGGTTTTTTCCCCAGTATACCAACTTTACATGCTCCTTTGTGGGGGTCAGAGGGGAGTCCAGTATTAAAAAAGATTTTAAAATAAACAGTAATCCCACTGCTTGCAGATAACCACTTCTAGTTATTTATATTTGCATGTATATATATTTAAACATAGTTGAGGACACACTGTTGCATCCTGCTTTTCTCATGTAATGCCACTTAATAAGCATTTTTCTATTTGGAGGTTGTTAAAAACCTCCAAAACATGCTGCCATTACAAAACATAGTACCTCACCCTGGCCAGTGTGGCTCAAAAGGTTGCCAGTTCAATTCCCAGTCAGGGCACATGCCTGGCTTTTGGGCTCAGTCCCGAGTAGGGGCCGTACAGGAAGCAGCAGATTGATGTTTCACTCTCACATCGATGTTTCTCTCTCTTTCTCCTCCCTTTCTCTATCTCTAAAAATAAAAAATATATTTTAAAAACCATAGTACCTCATGGCACCAATATATAAAAATGTAGTCAATCGCTACAGCTGGACAATAGGCCCAAACACTGTAACACTACTGTTGACCATCTTTCAGCCTTTTGGATAATTTCCTATGAGTTGGTTGCTAGAAACACAACTGTACCCTCCCGTTTAGGCTTTTTAAAATGGACCCAGCCTTCCCAAAGCTTTCTCTCTCGACAGGCAGCTATAAAAACAAGCTACTTGATTTTTCAAGATTTTGAAGCCCATTGGTTCTACGAACTCCAGTTACTGATGCTGATACTAGCAAATGAAAACTTCCATCTTTCAGCCAAACTTGACAAAAATATACCAACAAAATGTTGAATTTAGCCAGAGCCAAGTTCTTCCTGTACCTCACCTAAAAGGGGTTTACTTTTCCTTTATCTCATATTTTAGTCACAAGTTCATTGCAAGTCACCAAAATCAGTCACTGTGGCCTGCGTGCAGAATTTAGTCAGCTAGCTCTGACACGGAGCCCTAGCCTTGCCTCTCATGGGCTCTCAAACCTGGAATCAACTCACTTACGCAGCTTTTTTTTTTTTGGTGCAACATGGGGTTAATATTATTAGTCCACCTCTCAGAGCTGTTGCAAAGGTTGACACGAGACAGTGTAAGCACAGAACATGGATTTGGCTGTTATCAGGATTATCATCGAAACTCACCAGGCGTGATGTCTCAGTGATGGCCTACATAGAGTAGCTTTTCTCTTGGGAGACTGTGCTCTGCTCCGACTGGCTGCCCGGCCTCCCCACACCCCAGCGCATTCCATGTCAGTGGCTTAAAAGGAGAAAAGTTAGTCCTGCAGCCTCAACTGGGGAGCAGCTGGCCATGACCGTTCACCAAAACCTTTGAAAGTCATCCAGTGGCTTCTAAAAATCCACTTTCTCACACACAAAAAGAAAAGCTGCTTAAAATATTTATATTTTATATTTAATTCTTAGTGGTGGTTTTCGCTTTTTTTTCCCCTTCTGCTACATATAGGTCTGTCTTTTAAGGGTGATTTCAGGGGCAGTCCCACTCAATACTTTGAACGACCTCCCTGCTCATCAGGAGGTTCTTTCAACTCCGTCCACCTGTTAGAGACTCACGCTCTTGGCCTTAGAGTTCTAGAATCTGAGATGGTCAGACCTGGGACCTCCTCCAGTGTACTCATTTTTTAAAATATTTTTATTTATTTCAGAGAGTAAAGGAGAGGGAGATCTAGGAACATCAATGATGAGAGAGAATCATTGATTGGCTGCCTCCTGCACATCCCCACACTGGGGATCGAGCCCGAAAACCGAGCATGTGCCCTGACTGGGAATTGAACCATGACCTCCTGGTTCATAGGTTGATGCTCAACCACTGAGCCATGTGGGCCGGGCCAGCGTACTCATTTTAAAGATAGGAGACTAAGACCCAGAGGCTGCCCAGTGACGCCCGGGGGGTCTTGATAAAGTCCAGGGCAACCTTTTCTCTTGCTCCATTGGCATCCTGGTATTCCTTCTGGGAAGCAAGGAGAACTGGGAATGCTTCTCTGGATACCAGACTTCAATTTCTGTCTAAGATGCAAGGTCTGTCTTCTGCAACAAGTGCTCCTCTAAGCTGTTATCAGTCACTGAAAGAGTCAGGCATGGGAGCCGGGGGCTGGGTGGGGCTCAGAGAAGAGATGGGGAGGACAAGAGGACTTAACAGTTTTGCTCTGGACTGGCCTCAGTGTCCTCAGCCAGAAGCCTGCCATATGGAAACTTCTAGAAGAAACCTCCCCAACCTAACACCTTCACGGAGGCAGAGTGCCACAGAGGGCCAAGCTGTCATGGTCTGTCTGCTCCGAAAGGCTGGCTCCGAGGCAGGCAGCCTGGCCGCCCTGCCAGCCCTCATGGGGTGGCCAAGCTCTTGGGCTGCAGGGGGTGGGCTCCCTGCCAAACCCTGGGCCAGACCGACTCCTCTTTTCTGCTCATGAAGCCCAGGTCGCTGGGGGGCTTGGTGGTGTTCAGCCACTGCCGTCTCTCCTGACCCCCTGCTTTGTCTGAAAAGTGGGCTTTGCCCGCCTGCCCACTCCTGCTGCTGGCTTGTCTCCTGGGCCCCGGGCAGTGGTGGCCTGTCCTTGCCCGCAGAACTGCCTGCAGAACTCGTTCTTGCTGTGAGCCCTGGTGAGCCAGCACTCACTTCTGTAACCGAATATTTATCCCTCATTAGGGCTTTGTTCCCTTGGCTGTGGAAACCCTGGGAACCCGGGCTGCGTGGCTCGCCTGTTTCTCTCACTCCCATTCTGTTTCTCTGGCTCTGCCTGTCTCTCTCCTTCCGTCTCCCCCTTTCCTCTCTCTTCCGAGGGCCTCCTTTTCTTTCTGTCTCATTCTCTCTCTGCCTCACACGACAATAAGTGGGATATGAAGCCCACCAAGGAGCTGAGCATTTACAGCAATTCTCAGCTCCATCTTCTCAGCTCTGCACCCGGGCTGACGGTCACGTACCCCAGATGGAGTGGGCTGCCCGCCACTAATACTCCTACCCCGCCAGTTGCTGCAGACTGGTGATTGACATGCCCTCCTTTCTCAAAGGAGCCTGAGAAACCACGCGCATCCTCCCCTGGCTGTGAACTGTCTTGCCGGGTCCTCGGCAGGAGGCAGGGCAGGACCCCGGGGGCTCAGCGAGGAGAAGGGACTGGCCAGCAGCTCAGATTTACACCCAGGAATTGGACAGCCCCTCCTGGAGAGGGCTCAGGCCCGGGGCCCAGTGCCTCCTGCCCAGGGGATGCCTCTGGGTTCCTTCCGCCCTCAGAGATGGGATTGGGGCTTGTCCAGAAACCAGGAGGCCCTCAGCCAGGCTGTGCAAGTCAAGCAAAGACCGTTACAGAAGTTAAAAACTCTATCTTCAAATTCCGTTTGCCGTTTCTGCCTGGCACTATGAATTTCTAATTTAATTCTGACTGAATTCTAATTGAGTTTTTCAGTGAACACTGTCTGTATGTTTGTCATTAAGCAGCGAGGCGAGGCTCGACTTTGCTCCTGGGGCAGCACAGCCCTCGGCAGAGGCTGCGGGTTCTGGAGAGAGGCAGCCTTTCTCGCCGACTCTCTCCTCCACCCTCGCCACTTCCCGAGTTCCTTCTAACCTAATACTAGTACCTACTCTTAGGGATGTTGTGAAGGTAGAATAGCACCACCCAGCAACACAGTGGAATTAACACAATGCCGGGCACACAGGAAGCACTGACATATTAGCTGCCTTAGTACTCTTTTTTTCCTTTCCTCCTTCCCTCTGTTCCTTTCATTTCTCCTCGCCTTGCACCTCCTCAGATTCCCCACCTGTCCCGCAGTATTGCTCTGTCCACATAAGGGCAGGTTTCCTGCTCCCCCAGCCTGATGCCTGTGCTCCCCAGCTTTTTAGAGCCTGCACCAGGCACAGGGCTCCCTGCCTCTTTGCACGCCTCCCCCACGAGCTAAGCCGTGATCGTGGGGCACTGAGAGGCCTTGAGCAAGAGGCAGAATATGGCACAAGCCCGGGGGCAGGACAGCAGGACTGAGAATAGGTGTCAGCGCCTGCTTCGTATCCATTGGGACCCCTTTGAATACGAGGTAAACTGTGCGAGAAAATTGATGCCTGGGCAGAGGCACTTCCTAAACCTTCCAGTGCCACGGACGGGCGTGTTAGCATCATCCCAGGCTCTGTCTGTGCACCAGGCCCTCCCAGCCCAGTGTTAACTTCATGGTAGCATCATGGTCAGAATCTTCATCTCTCACCTTTAAAAAGGTTCTGAAAGGATTCTAGAGGGCGGCACCCCTCCCCCACTGATGCATCTGCTTCGGTTTCTGAGCCTCCTGGATCTCCGTGGAAAATGTGACGGGGCCCCAAGTTCCTTTTCTCGTTTTCAGAAACCAGTTTTCCTTTCACGAGAAGTTCTTGTGTTCCCCTTTCTCTGGTGCGGCAATTCCTCGTCATTTCCTGGCCAGAAAATAACCCGACGATGACCACAAGGCCGCTCGGTGCCCTTCCTTTCCCACGTGGCCAGCCTTAGATTCCCCCAGTGCCAGTGTGAGGCCCTTGGGTGCCCTGGCTGTTGGTGGGGCACGTGCAGGTCAGAGTCTGGGTCTCCCCATCTCCCCTGGCGACTCCTTTGCCTCCCCACCCCCTGGCAGGCTGTGGTGTCCCTGCCACCAAGCCTTGTTCCCTTCACCTGGGCCTTTCCAAAGGGCGGATCCAATCGTGTCACTCCAGCCTGCATTCTTTAAACCAGCTTAGGGCACCCCTTAGGATCTCGGCCTTGCCACCCCCCCAGTTCCCTTCCTCACGCACCTGACCAGCTCCTACTTATCCTTCAAGACCCCACCCAGGCAGCCCCCACCTCCAGGAAGCCTTCCCTGCCCACCCCAGTCTGTGTCTTTATCTGCCTCTCTTCTGGGCTGTGAGCCCCTGAACACCAGGGAGTCTGTCTTCCTCCCAATAGTTCCAGCACGGCCCTGAGTTGGCGCCCAGCTGCTGGCACACAGCCATAAGGTCACTGAACCAAGCCCCACCTCCAGGGGACCCCTCCTGCACGGTGGCCCTTGAACAGAGGGGAGCCCCGAGGGCCCCGCCACGCCCTCCACTTCCTCTCATTGTGCCTCCCTTCCTGTTTAAACTGTGAGGCGGTGGACATTTTTCCTCCCTTTGAGGACCTGCCTGGAGAGAGCTCTTTCTCCATTGCATCTCTCCTGACATCGTCCCAAAACTCAAATCTCTGACCCACTGGTGGCTCCAGAATCAACACACTTGGGGTCCGTTCCAGCGCCGCCCATTCGGCCGTGTGATGAGAGCAGGGTCTTCCCTTTCGGGACTTTCACGTCCTCATTTGTGAAAAGAGAACTAATAATAGCGCTCGTGGGGTTGTGGGGAGTTAATGAGCTAAATAAGGGCGCCCACGCTCCTGGGAAGTGTGATCCGTGGTGCTGCCCTCTTTGTGGCGTACGTCCCAGCCAAATGATGCTGGGGCTTCGCGAGAGCCAACCTGGACACTCACTGGGTGCCTGCAAGTCCAAACATCCTGTTCTTTTTCGAGCTCCTTACTGGAAAAACAGGGGAAAGCTGGGGTTTTTTTTCCTCCTGCCCATATCGGGTGACACAAAAAAACACAAGCCCAGCTGGGCTGAGCTACTTGACTCTCAGAAGTTTAGGAGCAAATCTGAGCTGCCGAGCAGGGTGGCGGTTCCTTTCCTGGATTAGGACCCAGGCCGTGGGAACCGGACCACCCCTGCGGCAGGAGGGCCACCCCGATGTCTCCCCGGGGCCTGGGCCTGCCCCGGAGCCCCTTCCTCCTGGGGAGGGGGGGCCCTGGGCTCATGTCCTCCCCACCCCTCCTGCCTCCTTCCCTGCAGGTGAACTTCCACAGCCCCCGGAGTGGCCAGAGATGCTGGGCCGAGCGGACCCAGGTGGAGAAGCGGCTGGTGGTGCTGGTGGCACTTCTGGCAGCAGGACTGGTGGCCTGTGTGGCGGTGCTGGGCGTCCAGTACCGGACAAGTAGGTGCCTCTGTGTTTCATTGTGGGCTTGACTCATTCCTCCCCTCAGCTCTGTCCACTGGGCAAGGGGCTCCCCTGGGACTGGCCTCCAAGGCCCCAGAGAGAGCCAAGTCCGGCGGACTCTGGTTACTGAGATGGCCTGGGACCTGGAGGGCGGGCGGAATGGGTGGTGTGAAGGTTTCGGTGTCAGAAGGTCATGAGTCTAAATCCTGGCCCAGCAGCTTACAGCTGTATGATAACCTTGGACAAGTCACTTAATCTCCTAGAGTTTGTGTCTTCTCTACTTTAGTAGGGGAAATGGTGCCCAGTTTGGGGGTGGCTTTGAGGTCAGAGATAACGTGTACGCGTACCTGGTGCCTACCAGGACTCCTTAACCTTAGCGGTGGGTGCTGTTGTCGTTAGGATGTGTGGGCTGGTGATTCACACAGGCTGGCACTGTCCACCATCCTTAGTTCCAACAAAACAGCCATAATGACTTCCGTTTACTTAGTACTTTTCATGGACCAAGTACCGCACATCTTCTCTACAAATGTAGTCTCATTTCCTCCTGACAGCAACCCGATGAGGTGTGGTTGCTTTTGGCCCCATTTTCCGTGTGAGGAAGCTGAGGCAGCGAGACTAAGCGACTTGCCCGAGGTTACTACAGGAGGGACGGGGAAGAGGAATTCAACCACAGGCCCTGGGGACCCAGAGCCCAGGCTCTGCCTCCCTTTCTAATCTGGGTGCATCAGTGTGAGGACTCCCAGAAAAGCTGTCCTCCCGTCACCCAGCTGACCCGTGTGTACCTCTGTAATTGCATTTCTCTGTCCTATCTTGTGTAGCGATATGATCGGGGCCTTTCCCATCCTGCTGCCCGGGGCCTGAGGCTGGTTCTCTGTGTGTGGCCAAGAGTAGCCAAGTGCCTCACACAGACTCGGTGTTCGGTAGGCATCTATGGAGCTGGAAAGGGCAGATCCAAGTGAAAAACGAGGGTGGGGAGTCCAGCTGATTTCAAAGCCTCTCACTCCCTGTGCCCCAGCGCCTAGCCTTCCGATGGCAGATTGTCCACCTCGTTGAACAGCATCGGTTGACCTGAGGGCCCAACCCCCCAGACTTGGTCACCTGGTCACTCATCCCATCGGAGAGATTGTGAACCTTTACAGGATCTGGGAACTGCCACCCAGGCTTCACTGAGCCTTGTCCACTGGGAAGTTGCTGGCCCTCCTGGGTGGCCCTGCTGGACTGGGATGAGGAAAAAGTTTGGGGGCCTGGAGAGAGGGCGGGACTTATCCCTCCTGTTCATTCATTCATTCATTCATTCATCCACCAGGTGCTAATCCACATTTGATTAATTAATTCAAGATTTCCACGCTCTTAAGCATATGTACTTAGCATAACCCCTGCATTGCCATAGGTGTGCAAGTCATTTGCAAATTGAATAAGTAAAGGATACAACGAGCAAGAAGGAGGAAAAGCTGGGAACAGCCTTTCTCTACCAATCACTCTTGTCCTGTAGCCGCCATCTTGCCCGAGGCACTATCTTGCCTAAATATCAGCTTTCGTTCAGAACATTCCGCCGGGTGGTGTGGACTCTGCCCACCCTCCTCTGCCCAGCTCCTGGCCCTGTGCCTGGGGAGCAGGCGAGGCTCCAGCAGCCAGTGTCGCCCTGAGACTGGCCCAGGAGTTCCCAGGATGTTTCTCTACCAGAAACCAGAAGGGACCCCCAAAGGGTGGCTCCTTGTGATGGGGCCACAGAGGGGCCCACGGGAAGGAATCCTGCTTCTGCCTCGACCTCAGCCTTCTCAGGGACGTAGAAGGGTTTTCCCAGCCTGGACCTGGGTGAAAGGAACTCTGGGTGGAGCTGGGTCAGGATCAGGTGACCCCTGAGCCAACCCATGTGTTTTCATTAGCTGCCCGGGCCTGGGAAAGCAGTGGCCACCCCGGATATTGACAGTTACCTCCTTACCCAGCAGCAGGTGCTGGCACCGGCCACATCTGAGCAAACAGAAGGCCAGACAAAGCAAATGCTCTGAGGGTTCTGAAAGACCCACCTATACGTTATGTCTGGGCTCTTAAGTACATATTTATTCACCTTCCTGCTGCACCCTCCCTTCTAGAAACGTGCAGGTGCTTTTCAAACAGCAGCAGCAGAACAAAGTCAGTGTGGAGGCCAGGCACTGTCCGGACAAGTGCCCGGGACCTGTCCCTGCTTTCTTGAGTGATCATGCCCGTCCTAAAGGGGAGAAATATTTTCTGCCTCCACAGGTGGTGACCAAGTGCTGGACAAAGCTTGCTCATTCATTCATTCATTCATTCATTCAACAAGCATGTATTGGGCAGTGTTAGGTGCCATGTACAATGCTGAGCAAAGGAAATATAAAAGCACATAAGATGCTGCCCTACCCTCCCGCTCACATTCCAGTGGGGGAGGGAGACAGGGAGATGGCCAGGACACCCCTTAGTCCGTGGTCAGACCTCAGCACCCAGGCAGCCAGAGAGGTATGAGGGTCTGGGAAGGTTTCCCCAAGGAGATGGAGCCTTGAGTATTGACCTTGACATTAGATGAGGGAGGGGGGGAGGCTGGAAACTAATTAATCAAATGTGCATTCAGTACCCTCTGGGTTAGGAATGGTTGGTAAAGGACCTACAAACCATCGAATAGTTAAATAATCAAAGCTTATTGCTTAAGCACCACCTAGGGACCTTGCCCTGTGCCTAGCGGAGTAGGTGCTTAAAGTGCTTAGTGATTAACTCAGGCTATTCCTGTTTTCTTACTTTGGTTTAAAACCCGAGGCCTAC